AAAAAAAAAAAAAAAAAAAAAAAAAAAAAAAAAAAACAAAACAAAACTCCTGCTAATGTACACAGTATAAAATCCCAGTCACACTTATATATATTTAATCTAGCTGACAGTGGCTATTTCAGAGTTTTCAGATTGCCCGGATATTTCTGTTCAATGAGTATCAGTGGTAGAACAAATACTTGGGGCACTGTGCTATGGTAATCTGCAATGAAGCTTAACACGGAGTATACTTGAGGTGCCTGGGTGGCTCAGTGGGTTAAGCCTCTGCCTTCAGCTGAGGTCATGATCTCAGGTCCTAGGATTGAGTCCCGCATCGGGCTCTCTGCTCGGCAGGGAGTCTGCTTCCCCCTCTCTCTCTGCCTGCCTCTTTGCCTATTTGTGCTCTTTCTCTCCGTCAAATAAATAAATAAAAATCTTAAAAAAAAAAAATGTAGTATACTTGTGTGGGTGTCTATGGGGAGAGACCAGTTAAGTCCACAAGCTGTTGAAATAAAGAGGAAGTTTGTTTGTTTGTTTGTTTGTTTAAAGATAAATGAACCCAATCATAGACAACAAGGAAGTCCACAAATATCAGGTTCCAAGTAGGAATTTGAACCAATAAAGAGAGTGAGAGAGAGATGTATTCTGTGAGTCTTTAGACTCTTCTATTACTGGCTTTTAGTAATAAGACTATTTTGTGAGAATAAAAAGGAAAAATACGCATATATAATAATGGAAGGTGTGGACTCTCTAATGCTGAACAGGGGCTCTTGCTCCTCAAAATTTTTTTGAGGGAGGGGCACCTGGGTGGCTCAGTGGGTTAAAGCCTCTGCCTTCAGCTCAGGTCATGATCCTAGGGTCCTGGGATCAAGCCCCACATTAGGCTCTCTGCTCAGCAGGGGGCCTGCTTCCTCCTCTCTCTCTGCCTGCCTTTCTGCCTACTTGTGATCTCTGTCAAATAAATAAAATCTTTAAAAAAAATTTTTTTTGAGGGAATAAATTTACATATATGTAACAAGGGAAATGCATAAATATGTAGTATAATCAAATATTCAAAATGATTTTTAGAGATTTTAAAGCAAAAATAAAGAATCATTCCAAAATTGTGGAAGAAAGCTTTGTCAAAAATTGGTATATAATTTAAAATAAGAAAACAGACTAAATAGAGTCTTTTACACTGGGCCTATCTCTCATAAAAATAGTTATTCTTTTTTATTCAAATTTACTTTGACAGTAGCACTGTCAAATAATACCAATTCCAGAATTGAACTATTCATGAAATATCATCTTAGTCATCTTCTGCCCCTTGAGTAAAAGTGTCAGATTCTGTTTGGTGTACCCAGCATGGTGGAACCAGAGAATATTCTAGAAAAGACAACTTTTTGGGCCAATGAGAACAGACTCAAGGAATAATTCTCTCCAAATCATTTGTGATTATTGGTAGGATATAGATATTATCTATACCTCAAGTGAAGTCTGACTGGAAACTTGAAAGTTAAGTTTGTATCAAATAAAAGGAAGTATTATTTTATACAGTGCGGAATAATGCTCTCAAACTCCTCTTCAGATGCCCCAGCTAAAAATGTAGATGTCTAAAATATATAGCTTACTGGATGACAGATGTAAAAATGGATTATTAAGGGAGATTAGGTGTATTATGCCTAACTTCTCAGGTTGACATCAAGCAAGAAAACCATGTTTTTCAATAATAGACACAGTTCTGGGGTGACTGCACCATAGATTTTAACTAGTATAGGAATGTGCCACATCCTATCTTTAATTCTAAAGACAGGGAATAATGGGAATGATATAGGCCAGTCTCATGAGGCCCTTTGTAGTTTTGCATTCTCTGTTAACCAAATGACACAGATGACTTTTTAGCAGAGCCACAGAGGTCTTTGAGCTGATTTAAAATATAAATATGTTTAGTGTGGAATTAGTAACTAGTAATATCCACTGAATGGGAAGATCTACGGAGAACCAATTCTTTCATGCTGTGGTTGGGGTGGGGGAAGCTGTCTGAAACGTGCTGGACAAAAGGGTATTAGTCCTAGAGATATTAACTACCTCAGATTGATCTTAGTAAATGCAATGTGTTAACAGCTGACTACATTACAGAGTAATTGAGGTGACATTATCTTTAACATAATGGAGCAAACCTGAGTGTAGGGGTGGTATGTGTGGGAGTGTGTTTATCTACCAGTAGTTTAAAAAAATTTCACTCTCCTGACCCAAGTGGTATGTTTTATCAACTGTGACTGTCAGTTTTGATATGTCGGTTAATAGAACTTCCTTAAGTGTGCAAGCTCTTTCCTTTAGGAAGGTAGATTCATAAGACAAAGACAGTGTATCTGTAGATGTTTGACCACTTGAAGAGAGACAATGATTCAGTTATAGTGGAAGACAGTCCAAATATGCCTGTAGGATATCCGGGAGCCTACTGATTGTTACCTTAATTCCATAGAACATCTTTCTTAATATAATTTAGAACCATATAGGAAGAAAGAGTACTGGTTTGGGTTTTCTTTTTACTTACCTCTATTCTAGGACTCTAAAACTTTTGATTTGACAGAGGGAATTTCCCTTATTAATGTCTATAATTTTCCTATTTAACCCTTCATTCAGAGTATAGCAATAGATTTTTTCTTTAATCAGTTGGTTATTTTATATCACTTTATAGCTTTTTAATTAGTCTAGATTTGTGAGGGCACTTACTTCATAAGAACCGAATATAATGGGAAAAGAAATCTTTCTAGACCTCTGTCAAGTTTGTAAGCCTACAGGAAGAGTACAACTCTGGAGTTATTCCCAGCTGTGGAAAAGAGGCCATGTAGTATTGTAGTGAAAAACCCAAACTCTGGAAGATTCCTGTGTGGAATTCTGGCTCTCATTTGTCCTCATTTGACCTTGGGCAGATTACTTAACTTCTCTGGCCTCAGTGTTTTCATATGTGACACTTCACAGAGTTGTGAGGATTAAATGAGCTAATGTATGTTTTAGTTTGAACAATGTAAACCTGCTGTTTTTGTAGGACCAAAATGGTCAAATATTAGCAATCCATATGGTTCATAAGGTTCAACCTAAAAAAATGATTAGAATAGTGACCCTGGTGGTATGAAGTGAGTTTCATGCCAGTGTTGGCTTTACCCTTCCCTTTCTTGGAGAAGTCACTAGTTTTTTTTTTTCATTATTCACCTGTGGATGTGATCTACTTATTTTATGAAACTCAGCAGTACTAAGCAAATGAACCTTGTGTAAATGCCTGTTTTTCTCTTTCTACCACTGAATCTTGGGTGGATATGTTACCTCCCCTTTGTATCCCTTCTTCCAGTCATGGAAAGACAGGATTGAATCAGATGATGAAAAGGCTTTCTCCAACACTCATATGCTGTGATTCTAGAATAATTTGTCTCTTCTTGGTCAAGTTTTCGAAACTGAGAGCCAAGAACACTTGTCCCCACATTCACCTATAACAAAGAGACACCATAGAAAAATTGCTTAAATTAACCACAGCCATATTCCAGCTTGAGATGTGGGATGTTTCTAAGAAGTCAACATCAACACAACCATCATTCTCCCTAAAACCAAATGATCCCATCCACAAAAATACTTCCTTCTAGCCCACTTTTGCTTCATAATATTGGTTCTTAAAAATCTGGAGAATGTCTTTTCTTCAGTTAGAAAAGTTACATAATGCCTATGTCACTAAAATACTAAAATCACTTCAGGGTAGCTACTGGGAACTTTAAAGGCCATCCTCTATTAGGTAGCAATTTTTCCAAATTACATTTTTTTCATACATATACAAGAAAAGCCTAAACTTGTGTCATTATCAGTGTCTGGCAACATGACTTGAACATTATTCCCAGCTGTAGAAAACAGTAGCCGGAGAATTTCAGTGGAAGTCATTTTCAAACTTATAAACTAGTTCAATAGAATGAAAGTTTAAGGATTTTTTAAAGTATTCTTCATGTTTTTGCAAGCAGTTTGTGAAAGAGAAGATGTGGCTAGATAGGAAGGAATATTTATAACCCAATGAATATAGAAAAGACTTCTAGAAGTAATACATTCTTTGGTAATAGACTGTCTTCCAGTGTCTTACTAAGAAATCGCTGCCTTCACCGGTTGCGTGTTTATCCAGAAGCAGTACAGAGTGAGATTTGCTTCTGCTTCTATCTGTTGTTTGAGAGACATTATTTGCTTCCAGCCTTCAAAAGGTAAATAATTTTAAGTTTGGTTACTTTACAGTGGCATTTGATTTCTCCTCAGCTTTTATACTCCAAAGTATCAATATTCGGTAAACATTAATTCAGTGTTTTAGGGATTGTGCTGAATACTAGTGAAAAACAGGAGAAGACCGCTCCTGACACTAAAAAGCCATCCCCAGAGCAGATGCTTTGGGTGGGAATAAAGACACGTGGTGGGAATGGGATGGAGATGTGTTTCAGATGCAGAAGACACAGAGCATGTAACTCAAACATATTTGGGGTGCGAAGGTGGGCGGAGATGTGGCTGCCAGCAGGGCGCGAGAGCTTCAGTCCTGAGTGAGCATCTGACTCCCAGTGTTGGTGTTAGGGAAGCAACCTGGTTTGCAGGGAGGGGAACAGAGACAGAAGAGCTTGATCGCTATACAAAGGAATCTGCGTGATCTGAATCTGAGAGTTACGGAGAGCCAGTGAAGGACTTTAGGGAAGTAACTTTGTCAACGTTTTCTACTCAGAAAGATCACTCTAGCTGCACGGCAGAGACTAGATTGGAGGAGGTCCACACTGGAAGTGGGAAGCCCCTCTGTGTGGCCATTTTTAAATCCTGAGAGCTGATCTGGGGAAGCCCACACTTAGCAGTAGCAGCAATGGGACTAGAACATGTATGAAAGTTATTAAGGAGGATGTGGTGGAAGAGTGCATGCCTATTTTTCTGATTCATGTGTTTTTATCATACTGAGCCAGTGTGTACAACTAAGCATCTTCTATCTACCCAGTATTGCGATTTGAAGAAACAAAGTTGTAATATAATGAAATTATCTCAATTTTAACCTTAGTGAGAACTTCTTAGCTTTATGTAGCTCCATTGTAATAATAGACTGGTTGCCACAGGTTTTCTTAACAAGGGTATATATTCTTAAGTGCTTACTTCTAATTAACTTCGATCTCATTGATACATGGCAAAACTGACCATTCCCGGAGGGGAGGTTGGGGGGGATGAGGTTGTGAATAGGGGATGGGGATTAAAGAGTACACTTATCATGATGAGCTAAGTAATGTATCCAGTTGTTGATTCACTATACTGTACTCCTGAAACACTAGTGTAACACTGAATGTTATACTTCAATTTAGAAAATCAATGAAAATCTTTTAAAAGTACATGACAGATGCCAAGACACATAAAAAACTTTTAAAAACACTACCCAGTTTTACTGACTTCTCATCTCTCTACATGCATTCAGTCCCTTTTCAGTGTCCTATAATTCATTCTGACTGTTTTTCTGGCCTTTACCCACCTTTAGTTGTTTCTGCTTATATTTTTCTGGAACTGTTTTGTTTTTGTTTTTTTCCCCAGGGTTTGGGGGTTCTTTTATGGCTCCTTCTCCATCACCAGTGACTCCAGCTCAGAATAACCTGCTACAGCCCAACTTTGAGGCAGCTTTTGGAACAACGCCTTCAACTTCTAGCAGCAGCTCCTTTGACCCATCAGGTGAGGTGGCGATTTTCAAATGTTCATTTCATTTGTTCCGATTATACACTAGCCCACCTGAGGTTAGTGTGATATCAGGAAACTTACAAGCAGATACTGAGTGGTGACCTGGTTTTAAAACTTTAATAAGTCTCTTGTGCTGTATTTTAAGTAAATATTTTCAATACATTTTGGAAGATTTAAGGATAACCTGTAATCCTTTTCTGTGTTTCTTTTTTAAATTTTAGCAGAAATCTACCACCACACACACCATCTGTTTGCATGAGCTTACATGCACATGGTTTAGAGATGGTTAAGGGAAAACAAACACTTTATGCAGTATCTGAATGTGTGAACACTCCCACTGCTGTTGCTTATACCCTCTGAAGCTTGCATGGCCCTCGGTTTTATGAAGTTGGGACACAAGTAGTATTCTTTGCCTGCCTTTAATCTTTCATCCTGCTGTCATTTTGTTTGTATTCTCTTCCATTCTACTCTTCCCATGCTGGGTCCTTACTACAAATTTTCAATTGGTGAGTTTTTGGCAATTAAATGTGTTTCAGAAAACAGCCTAAATATATCCCCTGCCTGACAATTTGGTTGCTTCTGTTGCCAGTGCCTAGTTGAATGCTGTCCTTTTCCAATTTAGAATGACTGTACAGTAGTATTGATAGTAAATATTCATAGTTTTTTAATGAAAATTAACCACAAAAATTTTGACAAGGATAAGATACTAGCAACAACTTATGCAAATCCTCTGCATCTGTATCTTGAATGTTGTTTCTGTATTCTAGGAACTAAACAAGTTGGTAATTGGTTATATAGTATCAGGAACCATCAATAACAGTATGATTCCTTAGTTAAAATAGTTTTCCCTTTAAACATTCCTTTAAAGTTAGAATCAAAATTGCCTGCTTATAATGAGGGAAGTTATCAAAATGTTTACTTCTAAAATATGGTCAATTGTTTGTCAGATACTTATTACTATGTCCTGCCCATTAGATCAGGTTTTATTCCAACACTGACTTCACAGGAAACCAGGAGATCCACTGCCTGTATAGAGCAACGTTATAATAAAGGCATATATATTATCTAATTTAATCTTCACAACAAAACTATGTGGTAGTAGTACCCTCCCCATTTATAGATGAGAAAACTAAAGCTTTGATGGTAACTTTCTCAAAGTCACACAGCTAGTGAGGCATGCAACTAAATTTGAACCTAATTCTGACACCAAAATCTGTGCTCTTTCTTTACATTACACAGATATTTTTTTTCCATCTTTGTTTATGTTTACTAGTATTTCTGTACTTTATGAGTAGACATATGTAGAAATGTTCTTCCTGGTGTTACAGTCATAAAAAGTGTCAATTACGTGCCTTCTTTTGTAAGATTGTATATTTACTTATTTTATAGTTTTTCAGAAAATAATTTCCATTTAATTTTGCATATGGCCTTTTTTTTTTTCCCCAATCATTCTGAACATGGTCTATTTGATTTCCAGTGTTTGATGGTCTAGGTGATCTACTGATGCCAACCATGGCACCAGCTGGGCAGCCTGCACCCATTTCAATGGTACCCCCCAGTCCAGCTATGGCAGCAAGCAAAGCCCTTGGGAGTGACCTTGACTCATCTCTTGCCAGCTTAGTAGGCAGTGAGTAGTACAGTTTTTTCATTTGTTTCTTACTGTATCCTGTGCAGTTTTTTCTCTATCTCTTTATATGTATTATTTTTCTGGATTCACGTATAGGTGAGAATATCAAGGAGCAGACAGAAATTCTTAGTGCTTTACCCAGTACAGTTCCTTGGAAGATAAACAGTTCCTTTGCCTTTGTCTCACAGGCAGTACCCATGCCATTTTTAATCTAAATTACTAAAGGTATAATTAGCATATGCAAGTATGAAACCAAGAGCATTAAGTATTAAGTAAGTATTCAATTTTTTAGTTCACTTGGAAATAAGAACATAGAGTAGCTTAAATATTGACAATTGAGCATCCATATGATATTAAGTTGTTCACTGAACAAATATTTGTTGAGTACCAAGCACTCTTCCAGGCTCTAAAGAAAAATCAGCAAACAAAACAGGTATAATTTCTGTTCTTAGGGTACTCAGCAAGGGGAGAGATAAGCAAATATTTTCAAATAAATAAATTCTATAGTATGTTAAGTCATAAGTGCTATGGAGAAGAAACAGCAGGCAAGGAGGAATTGGGAATACTGCAGAGTGTTAATTAGAGTAGGTCTCACTGAGAAGGTACAATTTGAGCTAAGATTTGAAAGTAGAAGAATGAGCCACATGGATATCTGAAGGAGAATATTTGCAGGCAAAGGAGATAGCCAGTGCAAAGGCACTGCGGCAGAAAACTGCCTGGCATAGTCAACGAACAACAAGACCAGAGGCTGGACATGAGCAAGTGAAGGAGAGAGTCCTAGGAGATGAGGGCAGCTGGTATAAAGACTGTCCTATTCTTTTAACTCTGAATTTGATTTTTCATTAAGGTGAATGGGTTCACCACTGCAGATACCTTTCATTTTTCTCACGGCTTTAGAAGGTCCTTTATACAGACTTTTTTTTTCCTATGAATTATCCAATGGACATATTTTTCCCATTCATTGTCCCTGGCCTGGGCATCCATGAAAATGCTTTGATGACACCCATAGAGAGGTTGAGTATTCGTACTCTAAAATTTCATCTTGCTGAAGGCTAGTTGGCAGTGGTAACTGCTTTTGCTGGCACTCCAATGTATCATCCATATTCTCCTTTAGAAATAAAGGATTTAAAGCTCTAGCTGCTGAGAGTGCATTTTTTATTGCAAAGCATAGCAAGAGAGAATATTTTTGAGTAATTAAATTGCTATGTATCCTGATTATAGTAATGATTACATGAATTCATATATTACCAAAATTTATAGGAATGTAATAACACTCCCCCCAAAAAAACCACTGATTTTCTCTATAGATAAATTTTTTTTTTTATTAAAATATCTTCAGGGCACCTGGGTAGCTCAGTCAGTTAAGTGTCCAACTCTTGATTTCAGGTCAGGTCATGATCTTAGGGTTGTGGGATCAAGCCTCACGTCACTCAGGATTCTCTCTCTCCCTCTCCTGCCCCTCGCGCTCTCTCTCTCTAAAATAATAATAATAAAATAATAATTAAGCTTTCTTTCAAAACTGAAAAAAATTATCTCCATACTCCCTACCAATATTCTAGTTTGCTTTTTTATAGAAATTGACAAGCTGAACCTAAAATTCATATGGAAATACAAGGAAGTCAGAATAGCCAAACACTCTAAATAAAAAAGCATAACCTTGGAAGACTCACACTTAATGATTTTAAAACTCACTACAAAGCTGTAGTCATTAAGCGGTACTGCTTCACAGGATAGGCATATACCTCAATGGAATAGAATGACAGTCTAGAAATAAACTTAAGTATCTGTGCTCAATTGATTGTCAGTGAAGGTGCCAAGACAGTTCAATGCGAAAAGTTTTCTTTTCAGCACATGGTGCTGGGCCAGCTGGATATCCACAAGCAAAAGGATAGAGTTAGATACCTTGCCTTCTCCAAAATAATTAATTCACAGTGGCTGAGAACTAAATGTAGGAGCCAAAACGATTAAACTCTAAGAAGAAAATGTATTAGTAAATAAATCTTCATGACCTTGGATTGGGTAATGTTCTTAGATATGACACCAAAAGCACAAGCCACGATAGATAAAAATAGATAAATAGAACTACATTAAAATTAAAAACTTTTGTGCTACAAATGACACTGTCCAGAAAGTGAAAAATAACCTACAGAATGGGAGAAGGTATTTGTAGAACATATATCTGATAAGGAACTTATACCCAGAATAAATAAAGAACTCTTACAACTCAATCATGAAGAAACAAATAACCCAATTTTAAAATGGTCGCATGATTTAAATGGGCATTTCTGCAAAGAATATAGACATACGGCCAATATGCACATGAAAAGATGCTCCACACCAGTCTTCTGGGAAATGCATATCAAAACCATGTGAGATGCCACTTCTCACCCAGGAGGATGGCTATAATTAGAAAAGACAATAACCAATGTTGAAGAGAATGTCTCTAACACTGTCGATGGCGGATGAAAATATGACTGTGGAAAGCAGTTTGGCAGTTTCTCCAAATGTGTAATAGACTTACCCGTAGGCAGAGAGTGCACCACGGGACTGGCCTAGAACACTTTTCCCCCACGCCTCTGCTCAGCTTCATGCAAATCTCAACCTTCTCCATGAGGCCTTCCCTGAGCACCTGTTCAATGCTGCCTATCCCTCACCTTCATCCTACGGACCAGATCCCCCGCACCCTGCTCTTCCTTTGCTTTTTCCCATGGGCTTTCCTAACACCTTCGAGGGGCCTATATAATTTATTATTTTATTGTTTTATCATCTATCTCACCCTATTAGAATACAAATTTCTCCAGAGCCGGGATCTTTGTTTTCTTCACTAATACATCCCAAGTGCTTAGAACAGTGCCTGGCATCTGTAGAGACTCAATCAATATTTGCTGAAGTAGTAAATGAATTGAGATTAGAGTAGCATGGATAAGCCAGTTGTGTCAGGAGTCCCCAAGACCACCTTCACTCAGAGGACACAGCACATGGGTGTCCTCCCAGCTAAGACTTATTAGAGCAGCATGGTAAGGATACGCAGCTGAGTCATCAGGGAAAAAGACAAAGCCAAGCCAAGAAGAATCCACGTGCTGACTTCCTTACGCTCTCCCATTCCCATGAGGGGAAAAGCATAAGAAAATGCGGCAACACACATGATGTTTCTGCCCACGGAAGCCCTATAGAGACCACACCCAGGGGTTTTATTGGATGCTAATCATGTAGGTACTCCGCCTGACATGGCCCCAAATTTCAGTCTTGTAGAAGGAAAGCAGTGTACAGCATAAACCACATGGTTTGTACAAGCAGATTAGACACCGTAAAGCCACCCCTATCATTAGGAAAAGTGTTCTCTCAGTACAGAGAACAGTTTACTGAGCTGGGTCCCAGATGCCAGGCACACAGGCCTAAGAGAACAGTCTCGAGCCTACTGTGTTTCCTCCTTCCTGGACACCAGTTGACATTAAAATGTGATCCTTAAGTATAACGTGAAGTAAAAGAAAATGTTAGATTTCTGAACATGTTTCCTAACATAGTTTCTCCTTTGTAAAATTGAATACAGTCATTCTTAGGCAAAATATGGACTTTTTCTAGACCTCTGAATCTTTGATCTTTTAAATGTCATATCATTTAATCTGAGTATAGAGGTTTAAATTCTGTTTTCTTTTATCCTTTTATAGATCTTGGAATTTCTGGTACCACATCCAAAAAGTAAGTGTTTTTGAAATTACCTGGTTTTCTTGTGACAGTGTCTTTATATTTATTTAAGACTGTTAACCTCATTGAAGCAATAACTCACTCTCAGGCTAGGTAATTTCAAAATTGGTTTTTATTATATTCTGGATTTTTGTTTTTGTTGTTATTCTGCTGGAACCTCCAAACTGTTGGCTCTACAGTGAAAAGAGACAACAATCTATTTCAGTCTCCAAGATTGCCACTAAATTATAGCTAGAAATACTTAGGAATTATGGATTGAGTGCTTTAATAGCTTTAAGTTCTAGAATCATTACACTATTCCTAGCTAACACTGGTTTTAAAAGTTCTCTCATGGAGGATCAATTTTAAGGAGGATAGTAAGAATGATAAACAATGTGCCCTTTCTTTAGATGTGCTTTTCAATGTTTCTAAAATTGGGATGCATTTTACAATAGGTGTATCTTACAGTTCACTATAAGGCAGGTTATAGTCGTGATGTAGTTGTGTGAAACCTTCCAATGAGCCCTCTCAGATCTAGAAGTGCCATCATGTATGAAACAAAATATAGGTATTTGACAGAGTCTAGATATACAGTTTTTACGAATATACTTATTTGGAATTTTTTATAACCAGTGAGGAATTCATTTGAATTTTGTGACACATTCTTCTATTGGAAGTGATAGGAAATTCCTGTTACCATTGAGATCCAAACTCTAAATTATTTTTTTTAATCAAATGCTTTTATGCTTTCTTAGATATATGATAAGACTCCTTTATAGTTTTTAACCTGTTCTCTTAACAACTCAAACGGACTGCTTCTAACTCCAAATTAATCTAATGAGCCATACACACTCTTTTCTGATTAGTGTGTTTTAATACTTTTGTGTGTTTTCACATGCTTGATTTTAGGGGAGATCTTCAGTGGAATGCAGGAGAGAAGAAGTTGACTGGTGGAGCCAACTGGCAGCCGAAGGTAGCCCCCGCAACTTGGTCAGCAGGCGTCCCACCAAGTGCACCTTTGGTACGTAGCCACCGGAGGCCGGGGTGGTGCTGATAGTCTGCAACTTTTCTAGTGTGTAGGACCAAGTGCACTTTGTTTAATTTTGTAAGTGACATTGTATTTTTTCACCCATGTAGAAGGAACCTAAGCCAGAGGCAATATTTACCAAAATGCAACTTGCATTGACTTTCTGTTTAATAAAGACTGTAACCTATTTTTTATTTTCATTATTTCAAAATAGTATTTATGCTTCTTTAGATATTAGTTCTATGTTTGCACAGTTATGGAAATAACTTTTCAAAAGCCTTAAACATCATTGATCATTATCTATATTTTTATCTCATTTCTTGCCTAAGTTACCTGATCGTCTTAATAAGTAAGATTTTTTTTTTCTTAACCAGAAAGATGAGGCAGTTTTCTATTGTGTAAGTAGACTTTCATTTTAAAACTCTATTAATTCCACTCACCATTTTTTTACATTGAAACTACCAACACCATTTTTCCTATAGAATTTAAATAGATTTCATTTTTTTTTAATTTTATTTTTTATAAACATATATTTTTATCCCCAGGGGTACAGGTCTGTGAATCGCCAGGTTTACACACTTCACAGCACTCACCATAGCACATACCCTCCCCAATGTCCATAACCCCACCCCCCCCCAAACCCCCCTCCCTCCATCAACCCTCAGTTTGTTTTGTGAGATTAAGAGTCACTTATGGTTTGTCTCCCTCCCAATCCCATCTTGTTTCATTTACTCTTCTCCTACCCCCTTAACCCCCCATGTTGCATCTCCTCTCCCTCATATCAGGGAGATCATATGATAGTTGTCTTTCTCCGATTGACTTATTTCGCTAAGCATGATACCCTCTAGTTCCATCCACGTCGGCGCAAATGGCAAGATTTCATTTCTTTTGATGGCTGCATAGTATTCCATTGTGTATATATACCACATCTTCTTTATCCATTCGTCTGTTGATGGACATCTAGGTTCTTTCCATAGTTTGGCTATTGTAGACATTGCTGCTATAAACATTCAGGTGCACGTGCCCCTTCGGATCACTACGTTTGTATCTTTAGGGTAAATACCCAGCAGTGCAATTGCTGGGTCATAGGGTAGTTCTATTTTCAACATTTTGAGGAACCTCCATGCTGTTTTCCAGAGTGGTTGCACCAGCTTGCATTCCCACCAACAGTGTAGGAGGGTTCCCCTTTCTCCGCATCCTCGCCAGCATCTGTCATTTCCTGACTTGTTAATTTTAGCCATTCTGACTGGTGTGAGGTGGTATCTCATTGTGGTTTTGATTTGTATTTCCCTGATGCCGAGTGATGTGGAGCACTTTTTCATGTGTCTGTTGGCCATCTGGATGTCTTCTTTGCAGAAATGTCTGTTCATGTCCTCTGCCCATTTCTTGATTGGATTATTTGTTCTTTGGGTGTTGAGTTTGCTAAGTTCTTTATAGATTTTGGACACTAGCCCTTTATCCGATATGTCATTTGCAAATATCTTCTCCCATTATGTCAGTTGTCTTTTGGTTTTGTTAACTGTTTCCTTTGCTGTGCAAAAGCTTTTGATCTTGATAAAATCCCAATAGTTCATTTTTGCCCTTGCTTCCCTTGCCTTTGGCGATGTTCCTAGGAAGATGTTGCTGCGGCTGAGGTCGAAGAGGTTGCTGCCTGTGTTCTCCTCAAGGATTTTGATGGATTCCTTTCTCACATTGAGATCCTTCATCCATTTTGAGTCTATTTTCGTGTGTGGTGTAAGGAAATGATCCAATTTCATTTTTCTGCATGTGGCTGTCCAATTTTCCCAACACCATTTGTTGAAGAGGCTGTCTTTTTTCCATTGGATATTCTTTCCTGCTTTGTCGAAGATTAGTTGACCATAGAGTTGAGGGTCTATTTCTGTGCTCTCGATTCTGTTCCATTGATCTATGTGTCTGTTTTTGTGCCAGTACCATGCTGTCTTGATGATGACAGCTTTGTAATAATAGAGCTTGAAGTCCGGAATTGTGATGCCACCAACTTTGGCTTTCTTTTTCAAATATGCTTTGGCTATTCGAGGTCTTTTCTGGTTCCATATAAATTTTAGGATTATTTGTTCCATTTCTTTGAAAAAAATGGATGGTACTTTGATAGGAATTGCATTAAATGTGTAGATTGCTTTAGGTAGCATAGACATTTTCACAATATTTATTTTTCCAATCCAGGAGCATGGAACATTTTTCCATTTCTTTGTGTCTTCCTCAATTTCTTTCATGAGTACTTTATAGTTTTCTGAGTATAGATTCTTAGCCTCTTTGGTTAGGTTTATTCCTAGGTATCTTATAGTTTTGGGTGCAATTGTAAATGGGATTGACTCCTTAATTTCTCTTTCTTCTGTCTTGTTGTTGGTGTAGAGAAATGCAACTGATTTCTGTGCATTGATTTTATATCCTGACACTTTACTGAATTCCTGTACAAGTTCTAGCAGTTTTGGAGTGGAGTCTTTTGGGTTTTCCACATATAGTATCATATCATCTGCGAAGAGTGATAGTTTGACTTCTTCTTTGCCGATTTGGATGCCTTTAATTTCCTTTTGTTGTCTGATTGCTGAGGCTAGGACTTCTAGTACTATGTTGAATAGCAGTGGTGATAATGGACATCCCTGCCGTGTTCCTGACCTTAGCGGAAAAGCTTTCAGTTTTTCTCCATTGAGAATGATATTTGCGGTGGGTTTTTCATAGATGGCTTTGATAATATTGAGGTATGTGCCCTCTATCCCTACACTTTGAAGAGTTTTGATCAGGAAGGGATGCTGTACTTTGTCAAATGCTTTTTCAGCATCTATGGAGAGTATCATATGGTTCTTGTTCTTTCTTTTATTAATGTGTTGTATCACATTGATTGATTTGCGGATGTTGAACCAACCTTGCAGCCCTGGAATAAATCCCACTTGGTCGTGGTGAATAATCCTTTTAATGTACTGTTGAATCCTATTGGCTAGTATTTTGGTGAGAATTTTCGCATCTGTGTTCATCAAGGATATTGGTCTGTAGTTCTCTTTTTTGATGGGATCCTTGTCTGGTTTTGGGATCAAGGTGATGCTGGCCTCATAAAATGAGTTTGGAAGTTTTCCTTCCATTTCTATTTTTATGAACAGTTTCAGGAGAATAGGAATTAGTTCTTCTTTAAATGTTTGGTAGAATTCCCCCGGGAAGCCATCTGGCCCCGGGCTTTTGTTTGTTTGGAGATTTTTGATGACTGTTTCAATCTCCTTACTGGTTATGGGTCTGTTCAGGCTTTCTATTTCTTCCTGGTTCAGTTGTGGTAGTTTATATGTCTCTAGGAATGCATCCATTTCTTCCAGATTGTCAAATTTGTTGGTGTAGAGTTGCTCATAGTATGTTCTTATAATTGTCTGTATTTCTTTGGTGTTGGTTGTGATCTCTCCTCTTTCATTCATGATTTTATTTATTTGGGTCCTTTCTCTTTTCTTTTTGATAAGTCTGGCCAGGGGTTTATCGATCTTATTAATTCTTTCAAAGAACCAGCTCCTAGTTTCGTTGATTTGTTCTATTGTTTTTTTGGTTTCTATTTCATTGATTTCTGCTCTGATCTTTATGATTTCTCTTCTCCTGCTGGGTTTAGGGTTTCTTTCTTGTTCTTTCTCCAGCTCCTTTAGGTGTAGGGTTAGGTTGTGTACCTGAGACCTTTCTTGTTTCTTGAGAAAGGCTTGTACCGCTATATATTTTCCTCTCAGGACTGCCTTTGTCGTGTCCCACAGATTTTGAACCGTTGTGTTTTCATTATCATTTGTTTCCATGAATTTTTTCAATTCTTCTTTAATTTCCTGGTTGACCCATTCATTCTTTAGAAGGATGCTGTTTAGTCTCCATGTATTTGGGTTCTTTCCAAATTTCCTCTTGTGATTGAGTTCTAGCTTCAGAGCATTGTGGTCTGAAAATATGCAGGGAATGATTCCAATCTTTTGATAACGGTTGAGACCTGATTTAGGACCGAGAATATGATCTATTCTGGAGAATGTTCCATGTGCACTAGAGAAGAATGTGTATTCTGTTGCTTTGGGATGAAATGTTCTGAATATATCTGTGATGTCCATCTGGTCCAGTGTGTCATTTAAGGCCTTGATTTCCTTGTTGATCTTTTGCTTGGATGATCTGTCCATTTCAGTGAGGGGAGTGTTAAAGTCCCCTACGATTATTGTATTATTGTCAATGTGTTTCTTTGATTTTGTTATTAATTGGTTTATATAGTTGGCTGCTCCCATGTTAGGGGCATAGATATTTAAAATTGTTAGATCTTCTTGTTGGACAGTTCCTTTGAGTATGATATAGTGTCCTTCCTCATCTCTTATTATAGTCTTTGGCTTAAAATCTAATTGATCTGATATAAGGATTGCCACTCCTGCTTTTTTCTGATGTCGATTAGCATGGTAAATTCTTTTCCACCCCCTCACTTTAAATCTGGAGGTGTCCTCAGGTTTAAGATGAGTTTCTTGTAGGCAACATATAGATGGGTTTTGTTTTTTTATCCATTCTGATACCTTGTGTCTTTTGATTGGGGCATTTAGCCCATTAACATTCAGGGTAAGTATTGAGAGATATGAATTTAGTGCCATTGTATTGCCTGTAAGGTGACTGTTATTGTATATTGTCTCTGTTTCTTTCTGATCTACTACTTTTAGGGTCTCTCTTTGCTTAGAGGACCCCTTTCAATATTTCCTGTAGAGCTGGTTTGGTATTTGCAAATTCTTTCAGTTTTTGTTTGTCCTGGAAGCTTTTAATCTCTCCTTCTATTTTCAATGATAGCCTAGCTGGATATAGTATTCTTGGCTGCATGTTTTTCTCGTTTAGTGCTCTGAATATATCGTGCCAGCTCTTTCTAGCCTGCCAGGTCTCTGTGGATAAGTCTGCTGCCAATCTAATATTTTTATCATTGTATGTTACAGACTTCTTTTCCCGGGCTGCTTTCAGGATCTTCTCTTTGTCACTAAGACTTGTAAATTTTACTATTAGGT